AGATATGCAGATGACACCACTCTGATGGCCGAAAGCGAGGAGGAGCTGAGGAGCCTTCTAATCAAGGTGAAAGAAGAAAGCGCAAAAGCCGGGTTGCAGCTAAACGTCAAAAAAACCAAGATTATGGCAACAAGAATGATTGACAACTGGAAAATAGAGGGAGAAAATGTGGGGGCCGTGACAGACTTTGTATTTCTAGGTGCAAAGATTACTGCAGATGCAGACTGTGGCCAGGAAATCAGAAGACGCTTACTTCTTGGGAGGAGAGCAATGTCCAATCTCGATAAAATAGTAAAGAGTAGAGACATCACACTGGCAACAAAGATCTGCATAGTCAAAGCCATGGTATTCCCTGTAGTAACCTACGGATGTGAGAGCTGGACCTTAGGGAAGGCTGAGCGAAGGAAGATAGATGCTTTTGAGCTGTGGTGTTGGAGGAAAGTTCTGAGAGTGCCTTGGACTGCGAGAAGATCCAAGCAGTCCATCCTCCAAGAAATAAAGCCCGACTGCTCACTGGAGGGAAGGATACTAGAGACAAAGTTGAAGTACTTTGGCCACATCATGAGGAGACAGCAAAGCCTAGAGAAGACAATTATGCTGGGGAAAGTGGGAAGGCAAAAGGAAGAGGGGCCGACCAAGGGCAAGATGGATGGATGGCATCCTTGAAGTGACTGGACTGACCTTGAAGGAGCTGGGGGTGGTGACGGCCGACAGGGAGCTCTGGCGGGCTGGTCCATGAGGTCACGAAGAGTCGGAGACGACTGAATGAATGAACAACAACAAAAAGTGGATTCATTGAACTGTAGCTCAGCAGTAACCAGGTTCCACGGGGCATATTTACACTGACCACTTACTGTGAAGGGACTCTGGACCAGCTCCATGGAGTCCAAATGCCACATAGTGCTGATCCAGGGTCATGCATTGCTTCTTAGGTGATCCCTCGTAGCTCAAGGATGATGGCCTTCCAGATGTAGTGTCTTGGCAGTGGGTCCGTTGGTGGCTGTGGAGCCCTATTCTTAATCCGCATGTTCTCCTGCAGTAAGGACATCGATTTCCAGATAGAAGGCGGTCCCAGTCAGGGTTGGCTAGAAGCGCCCTCCTCTTGGCATGTTTCTTCCTTTCACCTTCCATTCGTGCCTCTTCAAATTCCACAGCACTGCTGTTCAAAACTGACCTCCAGTTAGAGCGCTCAATGGCCAGGGCTTCCCAGTTCTCAGTATCTATGCCACAGTTTTTAAGGTTGGATTTAAGCCCATCTTTAAATCTCTTTTCCTTTTCACCAATATTCCGTTTCCCGTTGTTGAGTTTGAAGTAGAGTAACTGCTTTGGTAGATGGTGAACGCGCATTTGGACAACATGGCCAGTCCAGTGGTGTTGATGGTAGAGGAGCATCGCTTCCATGCTGGTGGTCTTTGCTTCCTCCAGCATGCTGACATTTGTCCGCCTGTCTTCTCAAGAGATTTGCAGGCAATGCTGACGGAATCGTTCAAGATCACTTTAACACAACCCTAAGCAAAGTCATGGGATCCTTCAAATTCTGGACCAGAATTCAGAATATCCTGCAACTTTGGGCCCATGTAAACAAGGCGGTTCCAAAATGAGCTCAGGCAGCCTGGGGATACAGGATAGCATTCCCCCCCCCCCAATTCTCCATGTTGCAATTCTTTCTGTGTGTGATATGGGTCCTGCTGGTCAGCTGTCACCTGGAATGATATCAGATGGGGACAGGGCTATTGAGGAAGGAAGAGAAGAGAAGGGGGCAATTCCACTCCCTCCTCCCTTGTTGTTCCATCGTTCTGACAGGGGTGATTGTGGCATGATAGCAATTATGGGGCCATTCTGCCATGCACCACTCTGGACTGGCCCTGGGATAACGGGTCAGTGTAGATCACCCCTGGCTATGTTAAGTGAATGCAAGATGTCAGCCAAGCCATTCGTCCTATTTATTTGGGTTTATGAACATCCCCAGTTCCCAAATCAGTGTAGGCCAATCCTAATCTCCAAATAGTATCTTTGACTGCACTATGCTTCCATTGCCTGTTGCCTATCCTAGTTCACTTTGTTCCTATTCAGTATATGTACACCTCCCTCTCTCTCTCTCTCCCTCCCTCTCCCCCTCCCTCCCTCCCTCCCTCCCTCCCCCCCCTCTCTCTCTTACACACACACACACCATTTTTCATTGTTTGCTTCTCACTTTCCCCCTTTCCACTCTATTGTTCTCCAGTCACCAAATGTCATTTGCTTTCTAAAGATGTCTGGCCTGGAGCTTATATACTACAGGGCAACTAAAGCCCACCCATCATTGCTGATCCAGTCACATCTGCTCAGTCGTGCGACAAGGTTGGGGCTTTTAGAGCAGGGAGAAGCTAAAGTTCACTTTTTTGCTGTGGAGCATCAAGTGACGAGAGGAGCACATACTTCGGGGGATCCTTTTTACTGTGGCAAGTTGCCTGATTTGATGGCATTGTTTTTTTTTAATGGATTTAGGAGAATTTCATGATGTCAGCACTTTAAGGGCCAATGTGTTGTTTCTTCCTCTGCCTCTTCTTCCTCCTCCTCTCCTTCTACCTCTTCCACCTTCAATAGGTCCTTAGAGCTCTTCTTTATTTGACCCATCTAAAGTTTGAGACTATGGCTGTTTTTCCAATGTGTTCCTAACATATAAGAAACATGTTGATGACAAACAGCCACAGTCTCCTGTTTCATATCTCCATCTCTTTGTGTGGCACCACAGGTGGGAACATTGGACATGCAAAAGTGCCCTGACTTAGAATAAGCTATTTGTACAGGGATTATTTTAATTTATATTTATTTACAGATTCCCATGGATTTTCAGTAGGATTGGTACCATTTATTTCCCAGTGGGATTATGGGAATAACTTTGGGGAAACAATAGGCTCTTCAGATGCATACCTAACTTTATCAGCACTAAAAGGATGCTAGTGAAGTGTGTTGAAATAAACAATTTGCTTTTCAGGCAATAAATTTTAATGCCTGGATTATGGATACATCTCAGAAGTTAGAAGGGTACTTGCACAGAATCCTTTTATAATAAAAGAACTTGTTAGATGCCTAAAGTATTGTAATTTTCTAAATGAGCACGAGGCAGTTGATGGATTGAGAACATCGTGACCTATTCCTTGTCACAGAGGCTCTTCTAGATATGAAAGAATAAATATTTTTAATGTTCTGATCAGATTACAGAAGACTTTTTTCATTTGAGGTTAGTGAGATGCTTGAAGAAAATCAAATGGGAACATATAAAGAGCATATAAATTACTCAAGATGAAGTGATGAAATTAATTGGATAAATATGCATTTCATTTTGTGATGACAAACAATTCCAAGCTGGCAACTAAATCTGTATTGGGGATGAACACCATGAAGTTGAAATGACTGTTTAAAAACTGCTGAGTGAATGGATATATGCAATTTATTAGAAACAATATATATAATGCATATAGAAAACATTAAAAAATCAAAATAGAAAATAAGATCCCATGTGTTTCTACACAACATACATATTTGGAAGCAAATGTAATTAGATATTAGAAATATGTACATACTTACTTAGATATTAGCAAACTGGCAAGTCGAAATTTAGCCTTTTTTGTAGAATATGAAATTGACGTTTCATAGAGTAAGTCTGATTAAATTCTAAAACATGTGTGAATATAGTCTAATTTTAGGGATCTCTGTGACCCACCATACACTGTTGCAGCTGTACCTGGTAAATAACAATATATGATTATGACTTGCTTGATTGTGCTGATGGTTAAGCCGAAACTCATAGAACCAGATAGTTGATGACTTCTAAGGCTGAAAAAAAAACCCCACATTCTCTGCTTTGAACTGGAATATATGGCAGTGTGGACTCAGATAACCCAGTGTAAAGCAGATACTGTGGGCTTTTCTACCTTGATATTCGGTGTTATATGTCTATGTGGAAGGGTTCTCACCTCTCTCAGTTGGGGATTAGCAACATATTAAATTACAACATGAACCATCAGTTTAAAAAAACAGAATACTTAAACCAATTAAACCATAAGTTTAAAGAAAATGTAAGATCAATGCATTTAAACCTTCAATAGACTATTTAAATTCATAACTCAAATTTTATTTGTTTATTTATTTATTTATTTATTTATTTATGCTATTTCTATCCTGCCTTTCTCAAACTCAAGGTGGCTTACAACTGGCAGACATTTGATGCCATAACAATATACAGTGTATAATTTAAGCATTTAAAAATTAGATTATCTGGACAGATAACAGGGCTGGTTAAATTGTACAGATATTTGATAATCTGATGCACTGTTATAATCTGTGCAAATACTTTTAGCAAGATCCTTCATTCTGCAGATATAATGATTGAAAAGTGCTTTTGAAGGTGGGGAAAGGTTGTCTCATGGCTCAGAATATGGCTAGAATCTTTTTGAGTGGTTACTCTAGTGCCTGTACAGTATTATGATTTTTACATGCATATATAAGGAAGTGTCCAAGGCTCTGGTATGAATGTTGTTCCTTATTCACTTGCAGTGTAGCATGCCATCTTAAAATAGGTTTTGTTCAATGTGTGGGTACTAGGTTTCCCCACAATCTAGAATGGCAATTGGAAGAGATACCAAAATGGCCATCAGAGTCTTACTGCTGCATTAGAACACTAGCATTGAAGACGGAGAAAATTATCCATGAATTACAGGATTTAAATAGGTTTTTCATTAGCATATGGATAAGTGTTGTGTAGCTGCGTCTGATATTATGCTGTCTTGCAATTATGTTTGCCTACAGTGGTCTCTTGAGGATTAAATAGTGCAATTGAGAACTACTGAAGCCAATGTAACATATGATATTTACTTCAGTGGTATGTTGTTTGCAATTGAACTTCCTAATGATGGAATTGTAAGATCTTAAAAGACTGCACCAAATAGAATATGGAATATATTTAAATCCTTTTACTTAATTTAATCGTTGTCTTTCTTTTAAACAGCCAACCAGAAATGGGTGACTGGAGTTTCTTGGGGAACATTTTGGAAGAGGTGAATGAACATTCCACTGTCCTTGGGAAAGTTTGGCTTACGGTGCTCTTCATTTTCCGCATCCTGATCTTAGGCACTGCTGCAGAATTTGTATGGGGAGATGAACAGTCAGACTTTGTGTGCAACACCCAGCAGCCAGGTTGTGAGAATGTCTGCTACGATGAGGCCTTCCCCATCTCCCATATCCGGCTATGGGTCTTGCAGATCATCTTTGTCTCCACTCCCTCCCTGATTTACTTGGGTCACACTGCACACCATGTAAGGATGGAAGAGAAAAAGAGAGAGCGGGAAGCAGCAGAGAGAGGCCTACAACAGCAAGATGAAAGAGATGATGAAAAATCATCCCTTGATCCAGAGCAGAAGAGTCCAGTATCTACCAAGAGAACCAAGAGGTTCCACCTTGAAGGAACACTTTTGAGAACCTATATCTGCCACATCTTTTTCAAAACCTTGTTTGAGGTAGGGTTCATAGTAGGTCAGTACTTCCTTTATGGTTTCAGAATTCTTCCTCTGTACCGCTGTGGTAGGTGGCCTTGCCCCAACCTTGTAGACTGTTTTGTGTCCAGACCTACAGAAAAGACAGTTTTCATCATGTTCATGCTGGTTGTAGCATCGGTTTCCCTCTTCCTCAACATTGTGGAAATCAGTCACTTGGGTCTTAAGAAGATTATGAATGCCTTCAGGAAACCAAGTGAACAACAGCCCGTGGAAACCCCAGAGAAGCCCCTTCACTCTATTGCTGTTTCATCCATCCAAAAGGTCAAAGGTTACAAGCTGCTGGAGGAGGAGAAGCCAACATTTCACTATTTCCCTTTGACAGAAGTGGGAGTAGAAACCACACCTGTTCCTCCTTCATTGAATGAGTTTGAGGAGAAGATGAGCATGGAACACCTGGAGGACATTCCCAGTGCCTTTGAGGAGCAATTGCCATCCTATGCCCAAAGGGATGATCAAGAAGAGGAGAAAGTGGAAGACCCAGACCAAGAGGTGGCTGAAGGGGTACAAGATGGACAAGTAGCAAAGGAATTGAAAGAGAAAGCAGGAGTAAGAGTAGGCATAGAGAAGAACATGGAGAATGAACATGAGCCTCCAGGAGACAATGTGGCTCCAACATCTACAGCTGATACAAGACCCCTAAGCAGGTTAAGCAAAGGTAGCAGCCGGGCCAGGTCAGATGATCTGACTGTATGAGGATATTGGCTCAAGAGGCTCTGACATAATCTCAGAAGTTTTAAAATTCTAAGCCAGTCATTTAAAAATTGTTCCTTATCTGTGTTTTTGGTTAGAAAGGAGCTATAAATGCTTAACTGCGTTTACAGTCCTTTTTATCCAGAAGTTGGTGCTAGCTATCATGTCATCCATTTTCTCTTCCTTCTAAGGCAGGTACCTCAGTACTGTAAAGTAAATGCACTATAATACAGTATTACAAATCCAAGGTGGAAACCTCCCCAGAATAGCAAATAGATCAAATATAGTAATAGATCACCTTTGTTTTTTTTATTTTATTTTTCCCAAGAATTCTCCACTAAGTTGTCACAAATATTGATAAACTCATAATTTATTGTATTATTTTTTGCTTCTTTCTGGAGCTACAGTCTAGTTTTTTTCTCCCATATAGCAATTCAACTTAAAGCTATTTCTCTTGCAAAAAAGGGGGAATGTCAGCAATTAACATTGTTAAGTGAAATCCAGCTGTCTCCCCATGACAGGGCAAGATATGCTCAAATTTCCACTCTCATTCCAGTGTAGTTCTTTAGTAACTTATCATTTTGTCTGTAATGTAGATCACCATCATTAGAAGCAGAGAACCTATTATGTGGCATTCTGTTGTTGGCATAGAATCACAGTCATAACATCTTAAAAGTAGTGATAGGCTACAAAAGCCATCTACTCCAACCCCTTCATCCATGCTGAAATATACAACTACAGCAGTCCAGAAAGATACTCATTCAGTGTCTGCTTTAAGACCTCCAAAGAAAGAGAGTATACCTTCTTTACATGAAGCAATGAAGCAATCCATTCCACTGTTGAACAATTATTACAGTAAGAAGTTCTTCCTAATGTTTAGGTGGAATGTCTTTTTTTGTAATTTCAATCCATTTAAATTTGTGTTTACATTAGTTCCATCCTTTATGTGACCTCCTTTCAGATATTTAAAGATGGGTATCAGGTCACCACTCAGTCCTCTCTTCTCCAAGATAAAAACATAAATAACTTTCTAAGTAATTCCTCATAACTCTTGGTTGCTCTTCACTGAACACATTCCAGTTTATGTCTTTAGACCATGATGCTCAGATCACTGATGGGTCTATTGACCGTAATAAATATTGTTGTTGATGATGCCCAGGCTGTGCTTTCTGTTGCCTCTGACTTATGACAACCCCACCCTAGGGTTTTTGTCATAAGATTCATTCACCAGAAGTTTTCCACTGATTTCCCCTTAGGATGGTGGAATTTGACATACCCAAAGTCACCCACTAGTTTTCTGTGGCTGAGTTCTCAGATATTTATGACCGTGTCAAGCCATGATCAGGAATATCCAATTTCTGTAAAAGAATGCCAGTCACTCATTTCTTTCTCTTCATCAGATATGGCCCCAGTGAAATCATGTTGCAGAGCAGGGTGAGGAGTTTTCCTCTGAATTACCCGGAAAGCCAGAGGTTCTCCAGATACTTCCCACTAAAACTCTTGCATTCCCTTACCAGTGATCATGCTGAATAGCAATAAAGCTGGTGGCAGAAAGATTATACTCCCCTGACACTTAAAACATAGAATCATAGATCATGAACTGATTTATGTTTTTATATATGTATGTGCCTTCAAGTCATCTGTTGACTTATGGTGACCCTGTGCATTTCATGAGGTTTTCTTAAGCAAGGAATACTCAGGGGTGGTTTAGCAGTTTCTTCCTATGAAATATAGCTTTTAGTACCTGGTATCTGTTAGTAGCTTTCCATTCAAGTACAAATGATCCTGCTTAGCTTCCAAGATGAAATGGGATCTAATGTTTTTTTAGGGAATTTAGATTGTTTTTAATGCTGTCTTTTTAATGCTATCCACATGGGAGATACTGCGAGTGATCAACTCTAACTGATTTTTTTTTAAAAAATAATAATACAAGGATCTACCCAGACTCATAACCTGCCTAGTATAGTAAGAACTTGGGATAAAAACATTTCAACATGGAAAAAAGGTTAAGGGAGTTTTGCCCATCTGCCTTTGTGATCTTGAATTGGACTTGCCACCTCTATGATTCCCTCCAGACATACACATTCTTAAGAGCAACATGCGGGGTACAGGTTGCAACCCAACGCTTTTGGAAAAGCCATATTGGTAACATTTGGTCTGTGCAGATGGGTGGGAATTTTCTTTGGTTCATTTTTTAAAATAAAAGATAAAATCTTAAATTATGCCATCCGATTAATTTTGAATGGGACGGAAAGCACAAGAAATTGTATAAATATGAACGTGGGACAGAGGAAAGGTAACACATTAGTCCATTGTTGGATGCTACACTATTGCCTTAAATCCTATCACTGTCTGCACTTCTTTCTGCAGATGTTTGAGCTCTGCTCATACCACAAAAGTAAGACTAGAAAGTAGGATGGCGGGGCAATGCTATTGTATATTTCACTACTGCCTGTGATTTCACTGTACATTTTACTGCTATCTGTAATGCATAATGCATAATGTCTTTTGGGTTTTAAGGTAAAATAATATTTTCTTTTAAATGGCTCACCATTATATTGTTTGATAGTAAGGCCATTAAAAATGTAATTAGGTTATAGTTACATTTAACCCCAACTTGATCCTTTCTAACCAAATAAATGAGAGCATTTTATTTTGGTACCAAAGATATTCCCCAAAGATCTCCTGCTATATTTTGTGCTTGGCACCCATGTCTCAGGTGCTGGTAGCACTGTGCAGACCAACTGTGCAGACCGCATGGACTACTCTGCTTTTCTGGTCATTACTTTGACACGATGAGCCTATGTAGGACCCAATGCAGAATGAAGCTGGTTGGATATAATCTGGACAGAAACCTGTTACTATTCGAGAGAGAGAGCAAGAGAGACCATATTGCAGTAAGAAATACAAGAATGGCTTTATAGGACTAGACCAGGGTCCATATAGTCTTCGGCAGTGGCCAACGAGATACGTTGGGATCCTCATAAATAAATAACAAAGCAACAGGTATATATGATGACAAATCCTCCAATTTCTCTGCTATCTCCCAAAAAATACAAAGGTTTTTAAACAATGTCTATTTTATTAACAGTATACACTGCTAATGTTTAAAAGAAAAAGTCTACACTGGGACAATATCTTTGTTAGGACTGACTAAAAGGTCACAAAATTGGTGTATTGGCTATTTTGTGGCACTCTGATTAGCTCTGATAAAAATATCTGTGGATCTGGTAGATTTTTGTCTATGGACCAATACAGCTGCGGTATATTTTGTTTGTTTTTTGTAGTTTCTAATGTTGAAAATGCCAATTGTATTTTAGCAAGAGGACTAAAGAAATAAAAACTTGGTTAGGCTTGGGCAGATGGCCTATGCATTGCAAGTCCAAATATTTTTAAGAGGGTGGAGAGTGATACGAGAAATGTGCAGGTATGCACTTTTGCTGGCTCTGTTTTTTCCATTCTCTGTAGCTCAGCAAATTCTCTCCAGTTTGAAACAATGGAAAGGGTTTGCTGCTATGGAAAGTATAATCCATTTCAGAAAATCCCTTTAGGATGATTTGCCAACATGCTTAGAAAGGGCCCCATAGAATTTTTCATAAGCTTGAGAGTCGCTAGTATATAACTCAGAGGTCAACCGGAGTCAGGGATTTTTTGCCATATTCATTCCCATGGTATGGGATCAGGCCTTTAATCCCAACCAAATTCCAATGCATTCTGTTTCCCTAGATATATCATTCTTTATCGTTTCAATTGTGTACTATTTGTGTGCATGTAGGGGAGAGTTAATTCACTTGTTGTCTTACACCAATAAATACAGTTCCTGTCTTGGCAGCCTTGATTCAACGTGGCTGAGTTAGTTTTACAGCAGCATTAAAGTGTTTTAGGACTGTTTCCTTTTTTATTCTTTCAGGAGTGGGGTTGGGAGATTATATTTTATAAGAAATCTCTTATTTGGTGGATATTATATAAGTAAAACTTGGAATTTTAGATACATTTTAGAAATAGCCAAAATTAGAATGGGGTCATCTGCATTGAATGTTGGGTTGTTGATTTAGTCCAGAATTTTGCCTCTGATGGGAACCTCTAAATATTCAGAAAGCAAGAGAAATGACATTTTAGATTTCCTTCCAATGACTTGCAATTGCCTTTAATTCAAATATAAAGTCTGCCTCATGAAAAAATAGAATGAGGCAGGAAAAAGAGATGAGTTACAATACATAAGACAATGTGCCTCAGAATGGAAAACAGTTTTGGTAAGAACAAAAGGTAACAGAAATTATTGACCATTCACATCCCCAAGATATTCACAAGTACCTATATCTACTATATTGATGCAAAAATTGAAACAAGTTTTTAAAAATTACTTATAGAATATATTTGTATTTTTATGTCTGTTTTATATGTCATTTTTCTTTTTAAATAATTTATAACATTTTATATGGTTTTGATTGTATTTTTGTAACTGTCTTTTTTTGCTAATTGTTTGGTGAAGATCATGAATAAAGATTGCTTTGAACTGAAAATGCCAGGAAAAAAACATGAAATCTATAGAGCCAAGACACATGTTTCTGTCTACCCAACCTCATGGGTAATAGAAGCATGACAATACATGCATATTACATTTCTTAAAATCTATACCAGGCATGGGCAAACCTCCAGGTGTTTTGGACTTCAACTCCCACAATTCCTAACAGTGGGTAGGCTGTTAGGAATTGTGGGAGTTGAAGTCCAAAACACCTGGAGAGCTGAAGTTTGCCCATGCCTGATCTAGAAACTACTTAGGCAAAATGTTTAAATATGTTCAATAGAAATGAAATGTGCCATTATATAAAAAAGATTTATACTTATCCATACCCAAACACAAATATCATCATCATAGCTTTCGTAACACAATTTTTGTTTCTGGGTTATAAATGTAATTTCTTAATTGGTTATGTCATAAAAACATGGAAAAAGTGTATTAAACTGCAATAATTTTGTTTTTGCGGGACATCCCGCAGCAC